TCCTTTGTAAGTGCATCTTCCTCTGTGAGCCCAGAAGCGAGGCCAGGGGGCGGGGGAGGCCTGGCAAGGAGGAGACCCCAGTAGAAAGAGGGAGGAAAACCAGGCGTCCTCCCCAGATCCCAAAGACTGAGGTTTGGCAAGAGGGTGCATGAACTCACTGCACTGTGAGGGCTCCGGGACTCCCAGGAAGCGCTGGCAACCCCGGGGGGACGAAGAAGTAGCGGACTGTGTGCGATGGAGCGCTGGGATTCTTGTCCATATGTCTAAACAGGTTCTGCTGGGCTCTGACTCCCAGCAGGCCAGGTGGAGGGCAAGCCGAGGGTTGGGAGGGGTGGTAAGGCAGCTGGGAGTGGGAAGAGAGCTGGAGTTTTTCCTTAGGTAAAAATAAATAGAGCGGATATCTGATATTGCCAAACGCTGCTTGGCGATGAGGAGAAAGTGGGTATTTTAAAGAAAGTGCAGAAGGGCCATGGCTGGGTCCCAAAAATCAGAGTCTTTGCCTTGCCCCGAAGAAGAAGAAAAGAGAATGGAAAAGAAAAGACAAAAATGTTTTTTTTTTAAAAAATCACCAGTGGGTATGTGGGGAGAGGCAGGGCTGGGCAGCCGCGGGCCCCACTAAAGGTGGGGGCAGTGTAGGACACACTTGTCTCCCGAGCACTCCATTCATGCTTTCTCTTTTGTTTACACTTCCTGGGGGGCTTTCTAAATGACTCTGTTCACGCTGCCTCTCCTCTTCATTGGCTGGGATGAGGGGTTATGTACAACTGGCCAGCAGAGAGGACAGGCCTCTTGGAGACAGCTCGGATAATCCACTTGGACCCACGGTCACCAGCATCTTAGCTTGTCTTCTCCCTCGGCCATGGCTCCTGTCCCTTGCGTCTCGTTAGGGAGGAAAAAAAAAAAAATCAAAAGGAAAAGAAAAATCGAAGCCGATTCACCGCACAGCTGACTCCGGACAGCGGTATTCCTTCCTCCGGCAAGCCTCTTCGCGTCTTGCCTCTCTGCGGTTCAGTCCCCTACACTCGGCCCTCTCCTTGCCTCTCTTTCTCTCTCCTCTTCTCTCTCTCTCTCCCTCTCCTCCCTCTCTCTCTCTCTCTCTCACACACACACATGCACACACACTGCTTTCTCTATTTCTCTCTGCTGAAATTTTATACCTCCCTCCCATGACGTCTCGGCCTGGGGTGGGGGAGGGAGGGAGGGAGGGAGGGAGGGACCAGCGCACGCAGCCTCTCTTGCTACACGGTTTTAATGTTTTAAACAGGCACAGGAAAAGCCGAGCCCATTTGAAAAATACTTTGCGAGTCCTCTGGTTCGACGTGGTAACTGAACTTTTTTTTTTTTTTTTTCTTCTTCTTCTTTTTCCCCTCCTCTTGGAGTCATTCCTGCTACACGTTGGCTGTTTTTCTGGAAAGTTACTCCCGAGCCCCCTCCCTCCTGCTACCCCGGCCCCTCTGCGCCGGGGCCAGCTGTCAGTCCACGCTCCCCGCCCCGCTCTCTCGCCTCCCCCGCGTCCCCGATCGCCCCCGGGCCGGGCCGGGGACGCACGCAAAGTCTGCTAAGGGGAGCGGGGCCGGGCGGGAGGGCCACTCTCTCCAGGCCCGAGGGTGGAACCCGGCTCGGCTGCGATCCTGGCTGCGGTTCTTCATTGACCATCCGGGAGCCGGGCGGCTGCAGCTTGAGTAAAATGATGGCGCTTTCCGGAAGGCCGAGGGTGCCCTCTGGCGAGGCCGGACCGCCAGTGACGGAGGCTCGGTGGCTCGACCCCGCGGGTCCGCGAGCCACTAGACCCCCGCCGTCAAGTCCCGGGCCCCACATGCAAGTGAGCTGAGCGCCGCTCCCTTCCCGGCCGGCCGGCCGACTCAGCACCTGGCCCCAGCCCATTTCCAGTCGGGTTTCTAGGTCTTTCTTCCCCCCAGGCCGACCCAGGCCGAGCTGTCCACTTTCTTCCCGTGTCTGATTATAGCCTTCTGAACCCTTTCTCTCTATAGGCCCGGCTCCGAAGTCTCAAGTGCAGGGATGTTAAAGTAGTGTCTTACAACTGGGGAAACTGAGGCACAATTCACTTTTTTTTTTTCAATGTAATGAAGATGTCTATCATAGGCTATCTAATCTGAAACGGCATTATTTTGACTTGTAACTTGTATGACTATCTAGGAGGAAATCCCAAGACCTTAAAAATGACTTCTTTAAGGTCACACAGCTCTTAGGTGTCAATATCGCCATTTGAACCCTGCCTGTCCATTGCCAGTCTGCACTTGGCGATGTTTGCTTCTGCAATTTGAGAAATAGATTTGTGTTGTTTTGTTTTCAAGGCAGGGTTTCTCTGTGTAGCCCTGGCTGTCCTGAGCCTCGCTCTGTAGACCAGGCTGACCTTGAACTCACAGAGATCATCCACCTACTTCTGCCTCTTGAGTGCTGGGACTAAAGGTGTGCATGACCACCGCCAGGCTGAGAAATAGATTTTTTTAAGAGTTTTTTTTTTTTTAATTGTGTGTGTATCCACGTGAACTTGTGTGCAGATACCCTTGGAAGCCAGATAAAGGTAACCATTCCTCTGGAGCTGAAGTTACAGGAAGCTGTGAGCTGCCCAGCATAGATGCTGGGAATCCAGCCCAGGCTTTCTGCAAGAGCAGTGTGTGCAATTAATTGATGACCCACCTCTCTAGCCCTGAAAGATAGCCTTGGTGTTTACTACATGCCCTGTACCGTTCTAGGTGCTGAGGATAAGTCCATGAACAAAGCAGAACTTGTTTTTATGAAATTTGCATTTCCCAATGGGGGAGGGTAGTAAACATTAAATAAATAAGATTATGTGGGGGATAGAACAGGGAAGGGGAGGAGAGCACCCCAATTAGGAGATGTTGGCTTTTAAAATGGGGTGACCTCAGAGGCTGAGGTTCTTGGGTTAACTCTTGTTTTTTTTTTTTTTTTTTTGTTTTGTTTTGTTTTGTTTTGTTTTTTTGGGACAAGGTTTCTCTGTGCAGCTTTGGAGCCTTCCTGGAACTCACTCTATAGCCCAGGCTGGCCTTGAACTCACAGAGATCCGCCTGCCTCTGTCTCCCGAGTGTTGGGCTTAAAGGCCTGTGCCACCACCACCGTCTTGGGCTAACTCTACCACGTAGGAGGCAAAGTTATTGAGGGAATTCTCTTCCGGGCTGTACACTCTCTGCCTCGCTCACACCAGTGTCTCGACAGCAGCTACATTTTTACCCTCACTTCTCAAATGATTCAAGTGCTGGGTAAGATTTGCCGGCCCCTGCTTGCTAGGGATTCTCTTTGCCCAGGGTAAGTACCATTCACCCTTTGTTTTCTCAAAGTTGGGGAAGAAGTGGGCGGGAGCTTACAAGAAATTGAAAAATCCCAGCATTAATCCCTTCTTGCATAACTGGTACCAAGGAAGAAGGAACAAGGGAAGAGCTGATGATGCCTGTATCGAAGCTGTCTGAGGTTTTTGGCAATGGTTGCTGCACCAGATTGAAATCTAACAAAATATTCTCACTGAGAAGCAAGTGAGGATCTCGGAAGAAATCTCTAAAGGTCGTTCCAAGGGAGGAACCTGAGGTCAAGCAAAACCAGGGTGAGAAATGAACTCCTCTGATTCCCAGGCCGTTGCGTCATCGCGCATGAAAATGTTTGGCCTTCCTCAGTGAACGTGGGAAGTGAGTCTTTGTGCTGGGTGTCACTTGCTGGGTGCTTCAGTGATGTTTGTCATACAGCTTTACGGACAGGGCTCCCGTGTTCCTCCTTTCGAACCTAAAGCCATCCACATTTTTCTGTGGGTCCCAGGGACCAATGTCGAGAATTGGGCAGAGATGTTGACTTAGGGATCTTATGTGGAATATGAGTCAATGAAGACTCAACCTGACTAACCCCTAGACTGGGAATCCGTGGGATATCACCTTCTGCAGGCCTAGGAGGGTGGCTGGCAGCCATTGTGTGCTGAAAAAAAAATACTTCAGTAACATGTGGTAGGTATTACAAGGGCTGGCCCAATGCTTAGTACTGGAGTTATTTTCTCCAAGCTATCTGTCTTGCTGAGTAGAGCAGCGCTATTGTCGCCCACTTTGTGGGATTGTTCAGATTACATAAGACCCCTAATGTTATATCTTCTTTTCTACTTCGTTTGAAAAAGGGTCTCACTATGTTGCCAAGGCTGGACTCAAACTTCTAGGCATACATGATCCACCTGAGTAGCAGTGACATGGCCCCTGTCACCGTGCTTGGCTATATTTATACTTTTGAAAGTGATTAGTACTCGAGTATTGGATATTTTAATCTGGCCTCTAAATAAACTTTGTTTTCAAACACGGAGTTTCGTGTAACCCAGTCCCACCTCCCAAACTCACTATGTAGCTGAGGATGATACCGAACTCCCGATTTTCCTGCCTCTAACTCCCAAGTGCTGGAATTACAGGCATGCATAAACGTGTGACTGCTTTCAATAAACTTCTTGAACTTCAGAACTCACATACTACACATTTTTGCAAGTCATTGTCAACTTTGTAAACTATTTATTACATTAGTGTTCACCTGTCAAATGGAAATAATACCACACTTCCTGCGCTCCACAGTGGTTGATACACCCTTCGCTTGAGCAGTAATTTGGAGGCCTTTGTACATTTCGAATAATCACCAACAGCGGCGCTTGCACTCACTCATAAACATTATTTCATCAGATCTACACATGTAGGCAAGTCCCCAAAGGCTAACCTCGCCGGAGCAGCCGGAGAGGATTTTGCTATCTGGAGATTTGTTTTGTTTTTCCCGAAGTCAAGCAAAGTTGGCTTTGGAAAGATCTGGTGTAAACTAGAAGGTGACACTCAGCCCCGGGGAACTGTGAGGCAGACTCTTTAAATACTGGGGTGGAAGGGCGGGGTCGTTGTTAGGGACGCGGCGGAGACGTCTGTTTCCAGGAAGTGACATCAGCGGCCGCGAAGATGGACGATTTACTGGACCTGGGCGAGGAGAGACGTCGCAGCTCGGCTACCTCCGTGAGGAGCGATGCTGGGGGCTGGGGGCTGGTTAAACGGGTGGGACAAGTGCCCTGACTCACCAAGAAGCCCGGAGTCGGGACGGACCCCGGCCCAGGCGCCCGAGTGCGAATCCCGGCTTAACGGAGGGTCTGCGCCCAGAGCCACTCCCGCCCTCGCCCTGGAGTCTAGTCCCCGGAAGTTCTCCAGAAAGCTGCTGGGAAGAGAGGTGGCTGGGGATGCTCTTTCCTTCCTGTAACCCCCCTCCCCAGGATTGGAAATCAATACTCCAGTTTATTACGTGGGGGGCAGTAACAACTGGGTTAAAAAAACAAACAAACAACAGAACTGTTGATGGGCCCGAATACACCTAGCCCCGGCTTCCTTGCTGGTAGAATGGAGGAGGCGTTGCTGTGCAGGTGAAATGGGGTATTCCTGGAAAGCATTTACCACAACGCCTGACCTTCACTGCTCTTCTCTCCCAGGCCATGACCATCGTATAGCCAGTAGACAATAGAGCTTGGTTAAAGACCTACGTTCAGTGTTTTCTGTCAAAGTCGTTACCCCACCCCCTCCCCCCTCTTAGTTGAGATCACTAAAAAATGGGTCACTTGGCAAGTCCTCGGTTTCTGCTGTAAAATCTCAGGTGTCTTGAGGGGGCCTGGTAGCCTCCGATGCCCTCCCAGGTGCTTAGAGAGGCACCTGTTGGAGGGAGATAATAAGAGGGTAGGAGCCAATTGGTTGAGAATGGAGCGGTTTTTTTTGTTTGTTTGTTTGTTTTTTTTTTTTTTTTAAAGCTAAGGACAACGGGCCACCAGGTCTTTCTGATACATGAAACTTTTTAGTACCTGGGATATGAATGTAGTGATTTATTCATTCCTTCCACAAATATGTATTGAGCCCTACTGTGCATCAGACTTTGTTCTAGGCAGAGAACAGAATGTCACTGACCTTTGCCCTGTGGGGTCGGGGAGAAGGACAGTAAACAGGCTACCCTTAAAATACAGGATCTCAGGTTGTAAAGTGGTTTCCTGTGTTGTCAATTTATAGGGTCTTCAGATAGTCTCCAGTTTTAACAGTTGTTAGAGAAACCACTTGTCAACAGCATTTGCAGGCACGATCATTCCTTTTTGTTCTAAGGTAGCCGCCTGTAGGATCAGATACCTAATACTTGGATGCGCAGAAGAGGGTCCCTTCAACAGAGGAGGGTACCTTCCTCGAGAAGGAAATGAGCGGTATTATCAGAAAGATCGTCCCCACCATCCTTGAAAGATGGACAGGATTGATAATTGCAGTCTGGCGCCCAGATCCTACGTTAGCAGGTTTTTATGCAGCGCTCATAAAACCCTTTTCTTCCTTCTTCCAACACTTAGCACCGAGTTTACAGTAGGGTGCCATGGGATGAACCCAGAATTCAGAGTCACAAGAAGACATTGCTACTTAATCACTTTCTTGGGCCTCGGTTTCCCCTTTTATAAAATGGCATTGGTCTCAGTCTTTGTCTGTGCTCTTGGGAGACCTAAACATGCTGATGCTGTGCTGGTTTTTTTTTTTTATAAGTAAATGATCGCACACTGACACTCTTCAACACCCATTAGAGTGCCTCAGAGTTTTGTGTGTGTCCCGGGGAATGTTGGAGACAGAGCCCCTGCCCACTGGGAGGGCTTGGGGAACACCTGCAAATGTTTCATCTGGTGACTCAGAATCTTGAAGTGGTCTGGTTTCCAAAAGGGATGTCTCAGCATTCCTGTCCCCTGTCCCCCACCCCCACCTCACCCCACCTAGTACTTGTAGATGCAGAGCCAACCAGCAGAGCCAGAGGTCTCTCTGGATTCCTCTGGTGTCAGTTGCCATGACATTGAGGAATTCTCTCCGAAAGCCTGTCCGGTAGCTGTCACTCAAGTCCTACCTAGGAAGGTGGGAGCCTTTACTGTCTCATCTGAGCTGTGGCTTGAGGCTTCTGCCCAGGCTAGCCGCGATTCTAACTGCGTGTGGTGGGTAGAAAAGCGGACTTGGCTTTTGCTCTAACTGTGGCTTTTGAAAAATCTCATCATCAAGACCCTGTATGTTTCCTGTTCTGCCGAACAGAGTGGACTTGGGTACTTTCTCTCAAGGATGTAGAGAATTCTCTATGAATATGTACAAGTTACTCAAATCCTGTTCTCTGTCATGCCATAAAACTCCAGTCCTGGCTTACCATGAGGTCATACCCACAGGGCCTCAGAGGACATCCCATCACCTGTGCTCTCCTCTCTCCTTGCAGGGGGCCAAGATGGGCCGCCGAGCCCAACAGGAGTCACCTCAGGCTGAGAGTTACTTCAGTAGCAAGAATTCTTCGTTGACGCAGACTGAAGAGGTGAGTGTCACAAAGACAGAAGTCAAAGGAAAGATGTGGAGCAATGCTCTGGGAGAATGGCTGAACCCGTCCGTCATGAGCAGGGCTCTGGAGTGTCTTGATCATGTCTTGATTTGGAAGTTCCTTTCTAGGACATTTGTCCTACTGGGGACATCTTTTCTTTGAGACCTTTGGATTCTGGACTGTTCCCCCCCGCCAAATTTATTTTGTTTGTTTTTGTTTTTCAAGACAAGGTTTCTCTGTGTAGCACTGACTGTTCGGGAACTCGCTCTGTAGACCAGGCTAGCCTCAAACTCACAGAGATCCACCTGCCTTTGTCTTCTGAGTGCTGGGTTTAAAGGTATGTGCTACCATACCCAGCTTTTATTTATTTATTTATGTATGTATGTATGTATGTATGTATGTATATATTTATTTATTTATTTATTTATTTATCAAGACAGGGTTTCTCTGTGTAACAGTCCTGGCTGTCCTGGAATTCACTTTGTAGACCAGGCTGGCCTCAAACTCACTGAGATTCGGCCTGTCTCTGACACCCAAGTACTAGGATTAAAGGTTTGCACTACCACTGCCTGGCTTATTTTTTAAAGACAGGGTCTCAAGTAGGCCAGGCTGGTATGGAACTCACTGTGTAGCTGAGGTTGACCCTGAACTACTGATTCTGCTGCCTCCGCCTCCTGAAAGCAGGGATTCCGGGCATGAACTGCCTTCCCCGCCCTGTTGTTACAGGTACTAGGTCCAGGACTTCATGTGTGCTAGGCCACATGATGCGCTCCACAGACTGAGCACATCCCCGGCCCTGTAGGCATCCGTCTGAAGTCAGGGACTGGGAAGTTTCCCAAGGCAGACCCTGTCCAGGTTTTTATTTCCACTGAATGAACACCAGGAAGGTGCTTTGGTGCTGTGAAGTTGAATGACAACAACTGGGGGTTTGCTGCCAATAGCAACCTCTGTCTCCTAGAATCTCAGGCAGGAAGGGGACTGGGCCGCCTCTGCCTTCTGGAAACTTTCAATCACCTGCTTTTGCCGTGCCCGCCTCGGGGCAGGCCGGGTTGTTTGCTGATTGGAGTTTTCCTCGTCTCTCTGCTCCACCAGAAAGTGAGTCACCAGACGGTAGGAAGCCTGGCTTCTTGGCGGCTGTTCAACTCAACAGTTCACGGTGGCTGAGGGGTCCTGAGCTGAGACGCCTGGCAGACCACATAGGTGTGCATAATCCGGACACACTGTCCTTGCAGATCTCATAAGTGGAGATGTTTTCCCCTGCATCTGAAATGACGTCACCAGTGTCTTAACGCTCTTTATGTGGTCCTGGCTGCGTATCTTTCATCATTTTCCCACTTACTGTAAAAATGTATGAGGAATTATTATTGTAACCGTGATGCCAGCATGTAAAATCTGACAGCTGACTCTTCCCTCAGCAGCAGAAGACCCTAGGGAGGGTATAGGGGCCTGCAGGTCATGTGACCACCCTAAAGGGATAACTGGTGCCTCTTCAAAGCTGGTTGAGGCTGTCAGGATATATATAGATCAGCACTGCCTGATCTTCTGATCATCTAAGAAATGCTGGTGGTCTAGTTTTGTGAGCGAGTGTGTGTGTGTGTGTGTGTGTAATGCACACCTGTTGCTGACTCTGGTCCTCAGCATCTCTTTGGAGGTCGTTATGAAAAGTCGTTCTGTTCCTCATCTCTCCGGTGCCCAGCAGGATTCCAGAATGCCTCCCTCCCCTTCCTGAGGTAGTGGGGTGTGAAGCAGCGCGTGGGCAGCCTCCCACAGGACCGTATACTCACTGGGCTGTGTGAGACTCTTTGGCTGTTTCTTTCTAAAATTAGATCCAGGATTTGTGCCCATTTACACCCAGTTCTGAGCATATGACTTGATATGTTTATTTTTATCCCCTCGCTGACTTTATTTAGTGGCGATATCCCTAAAAAAAAAAAAATGTAAGCATGGTACCTGGGAACTGTCGGGCAGACTGGTGTTACTTTAGAGTCAAGTAGGAATTAGTTTTGAATAAATAGTTATTTTAAAGTGAGGTGGTGGAATTGGGACGTGGAAGAAGGAATCAGAGAGACTCGGAGCTTGCCCCTGGCTCTTCTAATTGCTTGGCTCTTAAATCCACTAATCTCTGGAATCCTCCATCTCGTCATTTGTCAAATGGTGATCACAGCACCATTAGATGAATGTGGGGATCAAGTGAGCTCTGCATTTAAGCACTTTGGTAAACTAAAAAGCACTGTATAAGCCCCCGTTCATCCAGCACATTAGTGAGTGAATGAGTCTCTGCACCCTGCTGTTCCCATGGAAGGGCTGCCTGAAGGGGGGCGGTTAGTGCCGGTGTGGTGGCACACGCTGTAATCCAGGCCCTGGGCGTGTTGCGTTGATTCTCTCCTTCCACCGGAGGTTCGGGGATTGAACTCAGGTCACCAGGCCTGCACAGCAAGCCCTTTATCCACCGAGGAGGCTTCTCCAGCACTACAGACAGTCACCCTGTGTTCAGCTTCTGCAGTTAGACTTTTAAAAAATGGTCAGTAGTTACAAAATTGAGAAACCTGATGTGAAAAAACCAGATTTGGGGTTTCCCTTGGAAATCAGAAGCTCTTCCCAGTGAGACCCGTGGGCTGGCATTTCCGTGTGTCAGCAAGGCTGGGTCACTGGTGCCACATCCTTGTGGGTGACTAGGCCTCCCCAGTTCACTGCTTTTCACCTGCCTGTCTTTATGTGTAGTGCTGGGCATGGAACCCAAGGCCTTGCACATGTTAGACACGTGCCTTACCGTTGAGCCATACCCCGGCTCTGCCTGCCTGCCTCCCTCCCTCCCTCCCTCCCTCCCTTCCTCCCCCACTTTCTATTTTTTTTTTTTTAATAAAATCATCTCACTAAGTTGCCAAAGACAACCTTGAACTTGCTTTAGCCTCTAAATAGCTGGAGTTACAGGCATGTGCTACCATTTCTAGCTTGCGTCACTACTACTGCTGCTTCTTCCTCTTTCTCTTCCCCTCTTCCTCCTCCTCTTCCTTCCTTCCTTCCTTCCTTCCTTCCTTCCTTCCTTCCTTCCTTCCTTTCTTCCTTCCTTCTTTCCTTTTTTTTTTTAAGACTGGTTTTCTCTGTAGCTGTCCTGGAACTGGCTTTGTGGACCAGGCCTGCCTCTGCCTCCCAAGTGCTGGGATCAAAGGTGTGCCACCCCTCTCCGCCCCCCCCCCCCCACCGCCCACCCACTTCTTACTTTTTGTTTGCTGCCTTGTTCGTTTCTGACACAGATTTGCATCGTAGCCCAGGCTGGCCTCAACCTTCAGGGGCTTCTGCTTCAGCCTCTTGCGTGCTGCGATTGCAAGCGCGTGCCTCTGTGCTTGGCCACTTCTCATTTTAACGCCCCCTCAGACTTGTTCACTTGGTCTGCGTGGTGCCCATTTCCCCCTGAGTTTCAAACCTGTGCTGTTTGGGGATGGTTCCCAGGCGTTCTTCTGCATCTGTTAGCACTGACAGATTAACATTAGCATCCAGCAGACACTTTCCCCTAGCCTGACTGAAATAGGACTGACTTTCGAGGAGTTCAGTGGAGAGGGGATGTGGTCACTGGGTGAGGTCCTGTGTCACCCTAACCCATCCAGTTTCCTGCTGTGCTGTTGGAACCTCGTGGCTTCAGTTCTCACGGTTACAAGATGACCGATGATTGTCCAGGGGTTGGAACTGCATTCTAGGCAGGAAAAGGAAAAAAAAAAAAAAGGCGCATCCGGTTAAATGCTCCCCTTTGGTCAGGAAACAGTAGCCGGAGACCTCAGCGGGTATATGACTAGCAGCATTTAATTGGTCAGTACAGTTTTTTTGTTTGTTTGTTTGTTTTTTTGTTTTTTCAAGACAGGGTTTCTCTGTGTAGCTTTGCGCCTTTCCTGGAACTCACTCTGTAGTCCAGGCTGGCCTCGAACTCACAGAGATCCGCCTGGCTCTGCCTCCCGAGTGCTGGGATTAAAGGCGTGCGCCACCACCGCCTGGCCGGTCAGTACAGTTTTACAGCTGCCCTAGCTTTCAAGAGAGCTTTTAATCCAGTCAGAATTGGGTCTTGTAACTGCCACTCTGGGTTTTGGAGGAGTTTTTACCTGGGACGTTGGTGCTTCTTGGTGAGTGAGGAGGAATGGCTGGGGAGCAGGCTTTTTTGAGTTGTCCTGACCGGACTGGGAGCTGACGCAGCCAGGAAAGTGCTTGCTGTGTGTATTAGTTACTTTACTGTTGCGGTGATAAAACTCCATGACCAAGGCAACTTAGGGAGGGAGGGTTTCTTTGGTGTTTTTCGTTCCTGAGGGATATGAAAGTTATCACCATCATGGTGGAGAGCCTGGCGGTTGCCAGGCAGACAGGCACGGGGCCGGAGCAGCAGCTGAGAGCTCACATTAAAATTTTTTGAGATTATAATGACGTCATTTCCCCCTTCCTTTCTTCCCTCCAAACTCTCCCATGTCTGCCCTGCACCCTCCCCACCAAGAGCTCCCATCTTGGGGAAGCAAAAACTACCACAGTGGGAATGACTTGAGCCTTTTGAAGCCTCAAAGCCCACCCACAGGGGCCCAGCTCCTGATCCTTCCCAAACAGTTCCAGGTATTCATCAGACATGAGAGTTGAATCTGTGGCAGCCATTCTCATTGAAACCATCATCACCTGTGTGAGTTCCCGTGCTCCCACGTAAAAACCAGGCTCAGTGGTGCTCACCTGTAGCCCCAGCACTGGAAAGTGGAGCCAAGAGGACCCCTGGGGCTTGCTGGCAATCCGTGAGCTCCAGGTTCAGTGAGAGACCCTGCCTCGGAAACTGAGGTGGAGGGCAGTGCAAGAACTACACCTGACCTCAACACTTGGTCTCCATGAACATTTAGAGACATCAACATAGATACACGACAGACAGACAGACACACATATGCACACACAGAGAGAAAGAGAGGTTGATACAAACTAACTTGACATTAAAAATTAGAACTTATACAAACTTTTTAAATAGACTTGGATAAGAAAGG